AGTTAAAGCACTTAGACTAAAACAGACGTAACTACGTTAATCCTACCATAAAACAATAAGAGAAGGTATGACCTCTCTCGTACTCCCAGGATGTGGGTGTGCATTCTAGTGTGGAATACACACCAAGCCTTTGCAGCCTGTTAAAGATCACACACAATTAATTATATGCCTCTAAGCATACATGGTTAAATATTTCCTAATACAAATAACTACATGCAGTATTCTACCATATGCAAACTTATATCACTAAAAAGATTATACTGACTACTAAATACAATTTCCTCTTGACACAGAGCCGAAAATCAGCAGAAAATGAAGACGTCCATTACAGAGAGACTGGCTTCTTCAAGCAGAGACCTTCTTTAGACTCAGTGCAGGACAGCACACAGCAGGATTTATTCACAGTTCAAAGACTGAAAATAGCTTAACACAGACAGGTGATGGCACAGAGTGTATCTACTCTCAACTTATACATTCTTGGAATAACTCATGGTAGTAAAAAGTATTTGAGGGTGAGGAAGTAATTTCATACTTAAGCTGCTGTCATGTCTGACTTCCTCTTTCACAGGATTTTTGCAGGAAGCTAAAAACTGACGATTTTTTCACTGCTGTATTTCAGGGGCATCGTGTCACACCTCTAGCAGCTTTGCAACCAGACAAAACAGACTTGTTGAACTTTCTTGAACTGCATGTTTTTTTTGTACTTCTTTTTAATCTAGCGACTTATATGTTAAGTTGACTAAATGTTTCACTAAAAACATTTTCATCTCACTGTGAGATCTTCACTTGGGTGCATTTGGTAAGGAAACATTTTACTTCTTCTTGTCACAAAAACTTTTGTTTATTCGTCTTTTACTAAAAGAAGCATACATATTTTATTTATTGATGCTTCAGTTTTCCAGGAACTGTTATGTTATTGTTTTCTTATTTCAAGTGGTTTCAAATCACACAGCTCTTTAGATTTTCTTCATCTTTGGTAATAAAAATGGAAAATCTGCTGATAAAAGTTTTGATTGTTAACTTGTTTTGAAACACACCAGTAGAGTATAAAAGCTCCATGTGTGAAATCATTTAAATAAAAAATCATTTTTGTTCACAAATG